AGCAAAACAAAACAGAGTGAAGTGATATTGTGCCCAAGGGTGGAGGAGTGGGGAGAGACACCATTTTTGGTTAGAACCAGAAATAATCTAATCTCTTCAACCCTGTGGCCTTAAGCAAGTCATTTGTTCAGTTTTGGTTTCCCCAAATCTAAACTATCATAAGAAATTTTAACACCCAACAAAAGAGTCTTTGCTAAGTGATCCAGATTTCCTGCACCATTCATTATCCACCTAGGGTACATATGTCAGCTGTTAGTTTTTATAGCCAAAAATGTGATCTTTTGTCCCAGTTCTGCTTTATCTTTAACATAGTCTATTTTTCACCTTTATGTAACTTTTAATTACACACTCTGCCAAACAAATTTTCTTTATGTATCTCTTATCATTTGCAAATGCAAATTCAATACCTTAAACAAAGTCCTTCTATTGGCAGTGGATGCTTTATTCATATTCATATTCTGTTGGCTTTTCCATGGGATGTCATAATTGGACTATCCAACTTGCTTTTAACATTTCCTTGGAAAATCTGACTCTTGCTTGCCAACAGATTAGTAAGCAACTCTCTGAAGAGTATGAAAGGATTGTCAATCCTGAGAAGGCCACAGAGGACACTAAGCCTGTAAAGATCAAGGAGGAACCTGTGAGCGACATCGCCTTCCCTGTCAGTGAGGAACTGGAGGTTGACCTTGCTTCTGGAGACCAGTCACTGCCCATGGGAGTGCTTGGGGCTCAGAGTGAGCGCTTCCCATCCAACCTGGAGGTCGAGGCTTCGCCGCAGGCTTCAAGTAAAAGAATCAACTTACTCACTTTGGTTCTGGGAGATCTGACATCTCAGTACTTTTTGTGTTTTGGAATCAAGCTCTGAAGATGGAGGAATAAAAGTGAGGGTGGGCAGGAGAATGGAAAGTCTAAAAACAAATATAGCTTCACTGAACTCGAGATACCAGCATTCTCTTTGTAATTAGTAAAGAGAGGATTAGCACAGCTTTACCAGCATTCTTTAAAATAACTCCTAGTTAGGATGTAGATGCATTATGTGTTATCCTATTGATTACCAGAGTTAATTCAGCTGACCCAGCTGGGTGGGCAGATGTTCCCTTCTTCCCTTAGTATTCTGTATTGGTCTTTCCTGATGCTTATACTCAAATGATTAAGACAACTTCCAGATAGATTAATTGCTCTAGGATGTTTGAGTAGTTGGGCTTCCTGGCTAGAGTACCCCCAACAAATTGGAGCTGAAAGGGATTGAAATAGAGCTACCCAGTTAGAGGCAGCTGGCCTCTTTTTGTAGATAGACTCTCTGATTACTTTAGGAACCACGATGACTCGATCCTTAAGTAGGTCAGGTTGCAAACTAGTCTAGACACAGTTCTTTTTTTTACAAAGTTTTTAAATTTTTTTTTTTTTTTGAGAAATATTAGCCCTGAGCTAACATCTGCTGCCTATCCTCCTCTTTTTGCTGAGGAAGACTGGCCCTGAGCTCACATCCATGCCCATCTTCTTCTACTTTATATGTGGGACACCTGCGACAGTATGGCTTGACAAGCAGTGCAATGTCCATACCCAGGATCCGAACTGGCAAACCCCAGGCTGCCAGCGCAGAACGTGCGCACTTAACTTGCGCCACCGGGCCAACCCCTAGACACTCAGTTCTTTACAAGTATAAATTGTCATTTCATTAATGCACAAATGATACAAATAGCAAATCCTCAAGTATGACCTAAAACAGGATTAGGCCACATTTTTACAGGTGTTGGACAGAAAGCCTTTCACCATGGAAGCAGCAATAACCACATAACAATATTGCTAGAACACAGACAGGAGGGCCAAAGAGAAACTATTGCAGACAAAGGGGCCATGTCTCTTTTTAGCAGCCTGGAAACTGCTGCCAGCATTTTGTAGTGATCATTAACTTTTCATAATGGAAGAGAGGATCAGGGACCCAAACAAAAGACTGGAAAACAAGACAGCTGCGTAAAAGGAATGAAGGAAGGTCAAGCATTCTTAACGACTGAACAAGAGCCCCATAGCCGTGCCTGCCTTTGGGCCAGGAGACAGGGAATCTTTCTCCTGCATAGTTTTACTTCCCTGGTTTAGGAAAATGGCGGTGGGTGAAGTGGGGTAAAGGAAGGTGGAAGAAGTGAAAAGGAAGATATTCAGAATTGGTAACTTTTTGAAGCAGAGAATAACAACCATATTCTACAGCCAAGTGGAGAGTCAGAGTGAAAACTGAGCTCAAGGGCCATCAGTCTGCCCTGGGTGGTCTATTCATTCTCCTTTGTTCTATCCTTGGCTTAACATTAGTTATTTGTTGTTCTTCCATTTCTAGGTACAGAGGTAAATGCTTCCCCTCTTTGGAATCTGGCCCATGTGAAAATGGAGCCTCAAGAGAGTGAAGAAGGCAATGTCTCTGGGCATGGCGTGCTGGGCAGTGATGTGTTCGAGGAGCCCATGTCAGGCATGAGTGAAGCTGGGATTCCCCAGAGCCCTGATGACTCAGACAGCAGCTATGGTTCCCACTCCACTGATAGCCTTATGGGGTCCTCCCCTGTTTTCAACCAGCGCTGCAAGAAGAGGATGAGGAAAATATAAAAGGAAAAGAGATTTTCTGTCCAGACCTGTACGACCCAACAGAAAACCATGATATATTTAAATTTGTTTCCATAAACAGTGATTTGACTCTTATTCTTAAACACAGTGGATTTTCCTGATTTCAGTGGAACTGGATTTAACCAAACAAGTTTGCATTTTACTTTTACATCCATTTTATGTAGTTTTCCACACCAACCAAGCCACCTTTCACAGACAGATCATGATGCTGGGACGGTAATCAGGAAACCAAAGCACTGTCCCTGACCGTTGTCTTTACTGTGTGGCTAGACAAGTTACTTAGCTTCTCTAGAGCTGTTTCTCATGCACAACTGAGAAGAATCATACCGCTTTGACCTACCTTGCAGGGATGTTGTGAAGATTGAGATGTTAATAAACCTCAAACCTGTGCCTGAACAGACTCACAAGTAAATATATGCTGATATCAAATGTCAATTTTTTCTTTTAACTTGCTTCATTTTTGGTCCAAGTCATTAGAAATCCAGTACTAATACCTAACAGGAAATAGCCAAACACTGCACAACTTAAACCTATCAGTAGTCTTTTTAAAACTGTTTTTGCTGCCCATGAAGTCTCATAAAATCAGATCTGTGGTGACAGAATAAGCCATTTTGCTTATTCAGACAGCCCTCTCCTATCTCATCCCCAATTTTTCTTCTTCTCTAGACTTACTCCATCTATGCCTAGCCTTTTTATTTCCACTCAGATATTTTATATTATTACCACGTACATTTTTTCAGTTGTTTCTTTCATTTTCTCCTTTGTGAATGAAGCAAAAGGACCTGTCCAAGGACAGATTTGTGCTTATCTCATTTGTTGCATCTGCTTAGCCATCACAGAACACCGGTCCATTCCTTTGTCAGGATTCTACATCTGCACATTGTGCTTCTCCTGGATTCGCAGCCTCTAAAATGATAACAATACGCAGCTTTCTACTTTACATCATGTCCTGAACAACTTTACTCTTATTACTCATGCACCACAGTATCTGCCCTGCTTGGCATCTGATAGTCTCAAACAGTATTTATTAAGAAAATGATGTAGCACTGGAATAATTATGAGTAATTAGCAAATGTGTGCCTTATTCCTTGGTAATGGATGTCAGCATGTTAAACACTATTTAAGTTTTGGTGGTTTTTGGGTGCAAAATACAAGTCTTGTGAAATTTAGTGTACCCTTTTAATAGAGACCAAGAATTAAGGCACAGCTTTAACTAGTACATTATTGAGTGCCTGAAATGTCCCAGGCATTGAGAATAAAGGTGAATGCAACAGCAACAAAATGAAGTTATAATTTAAATTATCAGATCATTTATAAATTTCCTAATGGTACATACTTAGCACACTTAACCAGACCCTTCCTGTTCCAGGCTTAGCTTCATTTTCCCTTTTTTATTTATGTAAGTAGCCATCTAGTATTTAATCCATTCAGTTAGCAAACATTTATTGAGTACCTATTATGAACTAGGTCCTGTACAAGGGATACAAAGATGAGTAAAACTTTGTCCCTGCCCTTATGGAGCTTATAGCATAAGCTAGACAAGTTATTCTTTAAGGAAAAAGTATTCAAAGGCACTAAGGGGAAAAACCAGGTGTGTTCAGAGTTTTGCTGTGCAAAGAGTTTCCTCTTCAAGAAAAGGTTCAAACTTTTAGACTTGTGGTTCTTGCCAGTTACAGAATATCGAAATTAATAATTCATGGTAAAATAAAATACTTATTTTTAGAATGTTTAAATTGGAGAAAAGGCACCAAATGGTCACGGTTAGGATACTCTGGTAAAGCAGGTCATGTGAGGAACAATACCTGAGATTCATCTGGCCTGGGATTATGTCACAGGCTGAGTTAGTGCACTGGTTCTCAAAATTAGCATGCACCAGTCCCCTGGGGGGATTATTAAAACAGATTGCCAGCCCCCACCCCTACAGTTTCTGATTCAGTTTCTGAGTGTACCATTTCTAACAATTTCCCAGAGATGCTGATGCTTCTGGTCCAGAGACCACACTTTGAGAACCACTGAATTAGAATACAGATTAGGCAGGGATAAAACTCCTTAAGAGAAATGTATTATGTTTTAAGATACTGTGAGGACTCTGGGGGCAAGGCAAACCCTCACCATGGCTGTTATGTATGGAATGTGCACCTGACCCAAATCTACGGCCTTTGAGTAAATCACCAAGGATACTTTGCATTAAGTTCAAAGTACAATACAAACAGGGCCTGGCTCTGTACCTGGTTACTAGGTATGTGTACATGGGAAACCTGAGTAACCATCACCTCCTTATTGAGACCGGTCTGGACATGTGGCTTTAAACCTCTGTTGAAAAGAAGTGAAGCTATTTGCAATGATTAATTTTCTTATTTGAAATTATGACAAGCAGGCTTACAACAAAGTTAAAATAAAAAACTCTTTATCCAAGTCATCATTGAAAGCAGGACTCTTACTCATTAATTATGTTTTGCTCACTTTCTTCGACAAAGCTGGTGTTCTATAATGAGCTACCCAGTGTGAGGCACATTTCATACCAACATTGATTGGTTGCCAAGGAGACTGCACTGCCACTCTGGACAAGCTCATATTTCCCCTCTGCCTTTCTGCTGAAAGGAGGGGAACTTGTGGAGCAGGCTCAAGGGCAAGATGCTGGGGCAGTAGAGGCTATAGATCCAGCCTATTAACAGAGATGTGACGTGAACACTAAGTTCTCTCTCTCTTCTATCCATCAGCAGCAAAAATATTTGACTTCAAATGATAAAACTTGAAGTTTTAGACTTGAAGGGATATCAGCATCCAAAAACAGTCAGAATATCCTTCCTTGCATAAATCCAAGGGAAAGGCCAAGGGGAAGTGGCATCTACCTGCCAGGTCCAAATGTCTCCTATCCTTGGCTTCATCCAAGTCAGGAGATTTCCCTACTAAGAGAAACTCTGCTATTCTGAACAAACTCGTCCTTTATATTAGCTCCCAGTCAGAGGTAAGGATAATTCCTTCACACAGTGTTCCAAAATTTTGTCTTCTAGAAACTATTTGTTGTTTCTCTTCCAGTACTGTGCCATTGATTCTTGCATAAAATTCTGGAATGCTGGCTCTTCATGGCTGTCCTCTGTAACTGCAAGGAAAAAAGAAAGTCAATTCTTTTTAAACTCTCCCAGTAGATAGGTGGATAAGAGTTGTTGTCACCAATCCATCAGATACAGTATTTCTAAAAAACTGTTCAATTGTCCCAATAAGGAATTATCTCCCAAAAGCATGTTCTATGTATCATGTTGCCCAAAATATAAGTGGGGAGAATACCTCCCTTATAAAATAACTAAAATGAAGTCCCTCTCCTACATATTTTTAACCATGAGAAATGAAATGAAAACGTGTCCACAGACCTATGAATGAAATAGCAGCTTGATTCACAATAGCCAAAATCTAGAAACAATTCAAATGCCAATCAGCTAGTGAATGGATGAACAAATTGTGGTACATCCACATAATGGAGTATTACTCAGCAATAAAAAAAGAACATACTACTGATGACACATGCAACAACATGGATGGATCACAAAAGCATTAGACTGAGTGAAAAGAAATGCAAGTTAAATAATGTGATTCCAATTATGACATTCTGGAAAAGGCAAAATTATAAGAACAGAAATCACATCAGTGGTTGCCAGGAACTAGGTATGCAGGAAGGGACTGACTAAAACTGGGCATCAGGGAACTTCTGAGATGATGCAAGTGTTCTGTATCTTGATTATGATGGTGATTACAAGACTACATATATGTGTTAAAACTCATCAAATTATACACTTTAAAAGGGTGGGTTTTACTATTTGTAAATTTACCACAATAAATCTGATTAAATGAGGCAATTTACATGTTAGCATCCAGCACACTGGAGTAAAGAGAAGTTTGCTCTTGGTCATATCTAGGACATTTTTTAGGGCTGTCTCAAGAAAGAGATTCTGCTCATAGGCCTTAAAACTATGCTCAGTGGAAGGAAGACTTTTGGGTTTCCAGAGCATTCTATCCTCAATGTTACAGTCACTTCTGACGGATTTAGCTCTGCTGAGGCCTCCTTACGTGTTCTTGAAACAATAATTATAATAAACAAAAAGCCTGGATTCTTCAAACTGAGTTAGGACCCAAAGATGAGAAGACACGAGACTAATAAAAGGCCTGTAATCAGCTTAATATTAACCATTCAGTAGGAAGGCCAGGAACTCTCAATATATCTTTACCATCTCCTCTCTCCCCTGTTACTGGTTGTGTGCTTAAGGTCTTCTCTCAACAAGAAGATGCTCCTAAGCAAACAATGTGAGGATAAGCAGCTATTCTGTTTTCAAGAGCCACCTCAGCCACCTCTTACCTCTGTGGTCAATATCATCAGTATCACTGTCTGCTTCCTCATCCTCTTCATCCAAGGTTCCCCGAGTCAAGATCAAGTCAGAAGGGTCCAGCACAGGAGATAAACTGTCTACAGAGAAAACACCTATCAGTAGCATGTCAGGAACATATGCCTCCTCAAAAAGGTGATTATGAACCAATAAGTAACTATGATTATCAATTGGCAGGATGAAAGTGGTCATGATAAAAGGCAGGATCCCACCTCTTCTAAATGTAATGTTAATACCACTTAATATTTCTACACTAGTTTCGTTCACAAAGTGTTATCATGATCCCCAAAATCCAAAAGGTCATTTTTAACTTGAGGAAAATAATTCTCAAGTAGTTGTCTTGATAGTAACGTCATTCATTTTTACTAGCTGACAGGTTGGAAGAGGCTATGGTGTTTCCTATGAAGGCTAAAGACATTTGAGCAGATCCAGTGGGCTGGTCAGTCAAGGGTAAAAGTATGGAGAACTAAGGAAGCTTCCTGGTGGAAATTTAAGTTGAGAGAGAGCCTGAAAAGAATACACGGTGAAATGATCTAGAGTAGAGGAGCCAGGGCATTATTCAAGAAAAAGAGAGAGGGGAAAAAAATGGAAAATCGAATGTACTAGTAGAGGTGAAATTCCCAACCCAGGGAAACCAAATAAGGGCTGAGTCCCGATTATCAAGAAAAAGTCTAATCAAGTAATTACTGGGCAGGAGATTCAGCGGGAGGTGGTCTCTACTAGAACCTCGACCTATGCCAAGTATTCTAAAGACATGGGAGCATGACCGCTCTCTTCAGCAGCCTAAGAGGTTTGAGAGTGCTCAGCTAGAGAAAAAGGGTGGCCAACAGCAGCAACATCAAGGGACGCAAACCTCAAGGGGCCTGTGGGCCTGAAACAGGATGATGACATGGTGTGCTGACAGTCAATGCCTCATTCTGTGCCTAACTAAGAATTATGCAACTATACTTGTGACATTCCTCAAATAATTTACTGAAATTCCCCCAATCTTGAACAGGCTATCTGAGGAGAGCAGATCCTTTGCAAGCAGTAAATTTAACATTTGCCATTTCACATATTCATGAGTTTTTCCAAAGGACCATGGCAGATAGAAATTTATTTTGCTGAAGTGTGCAACAAGGATGGCACAGGCAAGATCATTTAACTGGTAAACCCAGCCAGTATCCAGTATCTCCTCCTCCAAGTGGTTCTGCTGTTCTCTACTAGATGTATAGCAATATCTTTCATGAAGAGAACTTCACTCCTTTAAAGATCAGTTCATCAATAAGCATGCATGGGTGGGGTGTATATATTTAAATATGAGCACCAACTGAGAAGCCTCTAGAGAATCAATGACAAAACTAACTTGAACAATTAAAAAAGTCAGTAAAGTGGCAGGATAAAAAGACTAATATACAGAAATTAAGAGCCTTTAAATACACCAATATAACCAGTTAGAAGATATAATCGTTCAGAAAATCCCATTTTCATCACTAACAGAAGATAAAATCCTTAAAATAAATGTAACAAAAAATATGCAAAATGTACACAAGGAAACACTCCTAAAAGACACAAAAGTAGACTTGACAAATATAAATACATTCCTTGTTCTTGGATAGGAAAACTCAGCATCATAGAGATGTCACTTCTCCCTACATTAATTCATGAAAATAACACAATCCCAATAAAAATACCAAAGAGCTTTTTTAGCAAACTAGATAAATTGATACTTAGGTTCATGTGGAAAAATAGACATGCAAGAATACCCAGGGAAACAGTAAAAAAGAAAAGTATGAAGGGGACTAGCCCTAGCAGATATTAAAACATACCATAGAGCCTCTACATAATTAAAACAGCATGCTGCAAGCACACAGACAGTCCAGAAGAATAAAACTGGTAGTCCAGAAATATACCCAAGTACACATGGAAATTTAGTATATGTTACAGGTAGCATCTGAGATCATTGGGGCAAAGGCAGACTTTTTAATAAATAGTGCGGGTACAACTCTTTATGAAAAAGATAACAGAGATCATATGTACCTCACACCATACCTAGGAATAAACTCTAAATGGGTCAGGGATCTAAATGCAGAAAATGAAACCATTTTACAAATTCTCTAATAAAACACAAGTGAATTCCTCTTTAACAGAGGTGTAAGTAAAGGATTCCCAATTATGACTCAAAATCCAGTTGTAATAATAAATAAATTTGACTTTATCAAAACAAAACAAAATAAAAACTTTTGCATGGCAAAATAATACCACGAACAAAGTCAAAGGACAGCTGACAAACAGGGAGAAAATATCTGCAACATGTATGACACAAAAATGGATACTGTCCCTAGTATATCTGGCAGATATCACTTCAAGCAAATGATCAAAGTTATCATCACCAGTAATGGGACAAATCAACACTGTGTGCCTCCTGATATGACATATGGAAAAAACACAACTTCATTTCTGTAAAGTTCTGCCAAAAATGTGCCACCTGATCAAATCATGAGGAAACATCAGACAAACCCACATCAAGGAACATTCCATAAAATAACTGTCCTGTACACTTCGAAAATGTCAGTGTCATGGAATACAAAGAAAGAATAAGGAATCATTCCAGATTAAAGGAGAATAAGAGACATGACAACTAAATGCACTGCAGATCCAGGATTTTCTCCTGTTATAAAGGGCAAATGGCTAACTCCAAATAATGTCTATACATTAGATAACTAATGCATCAATGTTAATTTCCTGATTTTTGATAACTGCAATGAGGTTATATAAAATAATGCCCTTGTTTTTAGGAAACAGACTGAAGTATTCAACGGTAAAGGCTCACTGTGTCTGCAACTTACTCCTAAATGATTTAGAAAGAAATTATATATGATACATATATCTATATAAAATATAAAGTCATACATATATGAGAAAGAGAATATAGTAAATGTGATAGAATATTAACATTGTGGGAATCTGGTTGAAGGGTTATATGGCAATTCTTTGTACTATTCATTGCAACTTTTCTGTTAATATGAAATTAAGTCAAAATAAACAGTAAAAAATATATTTTTTTTTTAAAAAATAAAGTAGATATCAAGTACCTTGCCAAAGTAAAAGAAAAACTACCTGACAAGGAATAACCCAAAGTGATGCAACTGTATACAACTTTCAGGGGTTTGCCTTCCCAAATCATATAGATATATATATATGAAAAGTAAATATGGATAAAGTGAATGTGATATGATAGATAGATAGAGATATATGGTGAATTCCTCTTTTTTTTCTTTTTAAAGATTTTTTATTTTTTTCCTTTTTCTCCCCAAAGCCCCCCGGCACATAGCTGTATATTCTTCGTTGAGGGTCCTTCTAGTTGTGGCATGTGGGACGCTGCCTCAGCGTGGTTTGATGAGCAGTGCCATGTCTGCGCCCAGGATTCGAACCAACGAAACACTGGGCCGCCTACAGCAGAGTGCAAGAACTTAACCCCTTGGCCACAGGGCCAGCCCCATGAATTCCTCTTTAACACAGGTGTTAGATATAGGTATACCACTGTGTCTGTCTGCACACTTCAAAAATGTCAATGTCATGAGATACAAGGAAAGACTAAGGAACCATTCCAGACCAAAGAAGACTAAGAGACATTTTAAGTAAATACAATGCAGACCCAGGATTTACACAGACAGATAGATAAATAGATAGATAGATAGACAGACAGATTTAGATATAGACAGATCAATTGATCGATTGATCAATCGATAGAAAATACCACATTTACTTTATCCTTTTCTCTTTCTCTCTCTTAAATAAGTGTACCCTCCTTTTAGTTCCTAACACCGATAGACCCTCCATACCTGTGGCTGTCCCTGCGTCCAAGGCTACAGAGCCCATATCTTTCTGAAGGCGTTCCAGCTGTTCCTTCTGCTGCTGGCTCTGTGCACTGGCCTGTAGAGAGAAAAATGTCAGATTAAAAAAGGAGTCCCAGTTAGATGTCAGACTTCTAACTGGAGATGACCCATTATACAAATACTACAGGCTATTTAAACTCTGAGGCAGCTAATGGATGGCTGATATGGGAACAGAAACACTGAACAGTGTGGACCCAGATTAGCAGGAATTCAGACCAGAGGGCTCTGCAAACTGAATTAAGTTTCAGAAACTGGACACAAAAGCAAATCAAAAGAACCCTCAAATAGACATGATGGGAAGGCCCAATGAAGCCAATGGGGGCAGGAAACCTGAAAATTTGGGATAAGAGTTGTGAACCACAAGTTCTTAAACAAAATTCTACAACTAACCTTAAAGTGGACATTGGAGTAGGGGGTGGGGGTGGGGCACAAGGGCTTAGCATATATGACAGGAAAAATCAAATAAAAAGAAGAAAAATAATTAAGGGGCCTTTCTGCATCGAGACAGCACACACACAAATTTACAAATTTAAATTAACACACATCTAAAAGATATGACAGCCAAAACAAAAGCATTTATGGCAGGAGGATCAGTACATGGTTTGAGGTGGTTTTTTAAGTGGCCCTAAAATACACAAATAGCCCCCTCTCTTACCAGTGATTTCTTCAGACGTTCATATTCAGGACGATACTCCCTGGAAACAGAAACACTTTCTAAATTCCTCTGCTTAATAATTTGTCCTGCTCACCTCCACATCACTTCTATTTTCCTACGATTCTGACAATAACAGTAGATCTTACCTCACTGAACATCAGATGTAAGAAGTCGGAGTCACTGAGGTTCTACCCCTGTGGAATTAAAGCCAAGGTGCCTGCCCCACCCTGAAACCAGCAAAGAGACAACAGACTGACTGCTGAGCTGGAAAGATTAATTCTGGAGACCATGACTGATGAGCTCATCATTCATTTGGAAAAACATGTGAGATGAGTAAAAGAACCTAGGCCTGTTGGGCTCAGGAAGTCCACTATATAATTATGTGGTTTATCTGGGCATCAATGAAAGGATACAGAAAAGAGTCTATCCTGAGGCTTTGACCACACACAAAAAAAACCCTTGTCTAATGAATCAAAATCAGAATACGTGTCTGAAAACCACAGTGAGGTTGTTAGGATCTTGTTAAGTATGAAGCCAAAGGAACATGCTAGTAAGCAGCCAATTATCAGGCCACGGGCCTAAGGAAAGTGTATAGGTGCTCTGACTCCACTTTCCTTTAGGTAAAGGGAATTCCAGTATTAACCATGACAACAGTTCTAACCATCATTTATTATGATACGTGTTTACTATGTGTCAGCAATTGTGCTGGTACTTTAGATATATTTTCTCAAATGATCCTACCAATGACCTTAGCAATAAATGCTATTATTCCTGATCTACAAATGATGAAAACTTGCTAAGGTCACTCATTTATTAAGCGGAAGAAACAGAAATCTAACCCATGCCTGTCTCACTCCAAACTCTATGTTCTTTTTTTTTTTTTTTGCAGGGAAAGAGTCACCTTGAGCTAACCTCTATTGCCAATCTTCCTCTTTTTTTTTTTTCCTTCCTCCCCAAAGCCCCGGTGCATGATTGTATATCCTAGTTGTAAGTCATTCTGGTTCTTCTATGTGAGCTGCTGCCACAGCATGGCAACTGACAGATGGGTGACGTGGTTCCACAACCAGGAAGTGAACCAGGGCCAGCAAAGTGGTAAGCACTGAACTTTAAGCACTAGGCCATTAGGGCTGGTTCTCCAAAGTCCATGTTCTTAATTGGGAATCAGTCAGTGGGGCAAACAGGCCAAATCCAGCCCACTGCCTGTTTTTGTAAACAAATTTTTATGGAATACAGCCATACCCATTTGTTTACAAATCATCTCTAGGTGCTTTTGCATGACAAAGACAGAGTTGAGTAGTTGCAACAGAGACCATATGGCGCACAAAACCCAAAATATTTATTTACTATCTGGCTTTGTACAAAAAAAGTGATGATTCCTGCTCTTAATCATTCAATACAGTGAAGATTTTATACTCTTATTTTTTAGAAAAAAAGGTACTGGAAAATTGTTACCCCTAAGAGTGGTCAGATCCAGTAGACATATGCAGGACAAATAATACATACAACTGAAAACCGAAATGCTTTGCCTGGCAAAACTGCTGTCAGATCAGAACTGTGTATTAGTAAGAATGTCAGCAATAAGATTTTCCTTTATCCTCACCTTTCATACTCTTCTGCAGCACTGGTGACTTGCACAAAGAATTCATCTAAGCCTGTACCCAGAACAGCAGACACACCCACCACCTGCCAAAAGTATCATTAATGCCACTGAGGAAACAACAGTATATTTTTAAATGGTGTACGTTATTTTGTCCAAATGTTATAAAATCTTCATAAAAGAGGCGTAGATACTTTAAAAAGCCTCTGACAAACAGACAAGCTAACACAAAACAAAACAGCATGCCTAGTCAAAAGTCATGGAAATAAGTCTATGAAAAATAGAGAACTGAAAAAGCAAGATAATTAGGACTGAATAAGTAGCAGGACTTTTTATCTATTCCCTATCAAATCAAACCACTGACTATTCTCTACAAAAATTACTATCTCAATGCCTTTGCTTGGGCAAGTAACATACTCCCTGCCGCCCATACCTACTTTTGCTTACATAAATCTTACCCTTCCTTCAAAGCATACCTCTAATGTCATATGCTCCAAAATCCCCCACATAAAAAGTGATCTGCCCCTCCCCACCATCAGGCCCAACTTACAATCTTTCTCAAGGTATTTACCACAATATATCACGTCTCAATTCTGTGTGTAGCCTTCTCTCCCAACTAGACCATAAACTCTCTGAGGGTAGGGTCTATCTTATTTATCTTTTAGACCTCCAGTTATAAATAAGCAACGCTTTAAAAGTTACTTTTCAGAATGTAAGGAACTTTCTTTCTAAGACATTTGCAAAGCCAGCCCTATGGGTTAAAAGGTTATTTGGAGAGACTGTCAGTATGAGCAAGAGAAAGTTTACCCTGAGCGAGCTGTAAAACTCATCTAACACCAGGCTCATGGAACGAGTCAGGTTACTGACATATGTAGTCTCTTGATTCAAGGCATCTTGGAAAGCCTCAAAATCCTGCATCCATTCCACTGCAAAGCTGTGATCAATGATGTCAGTCTGTACCAGAGAGAAGTCAACTATCAGCAACCAGACATGAGGTTAGACACCAAATAATGGCAAAAAAAATTTTTTTTTAATTAACTGGTGACAGCAAAAAGCAATCATTCATATATTTTCTTCTCTGCTTCCCCCATTTCCTTCTCCACTGCAACAAGCCACAAAGAGCCAAGACTGCTGAATAGCGTAAATAATTAAATTAAGATACGTGTTCTCTTGGTTGATGCAGACCCTTCACTATTCACTACCAAGTGACCATGGCTGCAGTGGACGCCACCACATTCCAGGCTCTAAAGTCAAGTAGTCTCTTGCATCTTCGCCATCAACGAACGACAGGGAAGTTTTGTTTTTGTATGTTTTAATTGCCACTTCCAACAGACTAGCAGTCCCTCCCTGATTTACACAGCCTGGATTCTGTGGGGTAACCTATACGCCATGGTTGAGGGGCTACTCTACCTAGCCTAAAATAACTCTGGGTGGGAGACAGTGATAAATATTCTTTCAACTTGATTGAAACTTTTTCCTAGAAGTGCTCATGGCTTTGGTTCAGTTAAGCTTGAATCTGCTCTCTAGCATCTGAAATAATCCTCACCTACCCAAACCTTCTGATAACACAAGGTTCTAATGAAAAGAAATGTTGAATCATAACAGGAGGATCCACTTACTTTATTCATAACCACAATGAAAGGCAGCTTGGTTTTGTACAAGATGCTGAAAATCAAACATCAAGACATATTATTAGCAAAAGCACTTAAGCTCTTGTTTGCCCAGTGTCAGTGTGAGAACTGAGGAAAGAGAAGGGGAATGGGTTGATTCTAAATATAGGTCTCCCTTCTGATGCGGCACGCACCTATTTTCCTCTCTCAAGAGGGAAACCACCGTCACCATCAAGCAAGCAACACACACACACTCTCTCTCTCTCCTTCTTTCTTGGAGTAATATTTTGATACTGATCCTTTTTCTCTGTGTATCTGTTTGCTTGTTTTCACCAAATAATTGTCTTTTAAATAATTAACATGAAAATAAAATAATGTGAAGGTCATCAGATTTTTATCTGGATTAGGATTTTTTGCATCTAATAAGAAGAGACATCCCTAATCATATTAGAGGAGACAAATGTCGGTGATGGCTTTTGTGTATCCCCCAGATCAAATTCTCTAAGCTTTAATAATGGTCTGCCTTGCTCCTAGGTTTAATGCACTAACATAGCCCAGTGACGCATGTCCTTCCTCTCTTATTTGCACTACGCTTGGGGCAAACCCATGCATTTTAGAATTATGAACAAATCTTTTTATTCATAATCTCTCCTCATGTTATAATCTCACTCTACCTATCATAACACAGAAAAGGAACACTTAGACCAGAGGGTTCTGTTCTTTTTAGACTTGGATTTCATTAAACCAGGAGCAACTACCAGAAGGTTAATATTCATACACCACCTATTTCTATAACAAGCAAGGGAGGAAGATGAGAAGTTGCTGACAGAGAATGCCAACAACACATGAGCCTCTTCCCCAACTCACTGCCGCTAAACTGAGTGGCAAATCTGAATGAGCAGAAGTCTAGGGGTAAGCACTCAGGACTCAAAAGAAAAGAAGAGGAGGCCTCATACCTTGATGTAATACCATGCCCACCGATAATCAATTACCTGCAAGCATAGAGCATATTGGACATGAAGGTTACTGGGTTGGTACTTCGTGATGTGTCCATGACATAAATGACAATCGTTGGAAATGAGGATGCCTAAAGCCACAAAATAATCAAAGCTTTAGTAAGACGGCTCATGACCTGTCCCCAAACTTTTCCTACCTTCCTTAGCAAGGGAGAACCACTTTAGGCAGGGTATGAAGAGCTCTGTAACTCCCTTCCATATAAGGTGTCAGGCAATAAAAAGATCCGTACCCAGTCTAGCTCTCTAGTTATTCTTAGTAACAAGTCCTAGAAAACTTACCAGGGCCTCGGTGATGATTGTCCCAGAAGCTGACCAGGTGAATACCTCAATCTGTCCAGGTGTGTCAATCAAGACATATCTGTGTCAAGAAAAACAATTAAATAAGTATTATACTTGTGCAATGCTAAAAGATATTCCATCACACAAAACATTAAACATCTGGTTATCCAAGATTAGAATAACCTCTTCATACTGCTAAGTCTAACTTCCTCCCATTGCTCTTAAAATGCATACCACATTCACCTAGACTATGTTTAATGTCCAAAATTCATGCTAATAGGCATGAGCAGCAGTCCATAAATTGCTGCAAATGATCAGAGGGAAAATTGTGATAGTTATAGAAATACATTGCGTTAAAAATGAGGGATAAGCAAAACCAGAACGTACATCTCTGGGGAAACTATCCAGTTGCTTTGGGGTGGGGGTTGAGGAAGGTGGAGGGGAGAGAGAAATGGAGGGATAGACAAGTGATAACTAAAGAATACAGGGTTTCTTCTTGAGGTGATGAAAATGTTCTAAAATTGATCATGGTGATGGTTGCATAAGTCTGTGACTATACTAAAAGTCACTGAATTGAACACTTTAAATGGGTGAACTGTATATGAATTATATCTCAATAAAGCTGCTTTTAAAAATGAGCAAAGAATTTGAATAGACATTTCTCCAAACGTATAGCAATGGCCAATAAGTACATGAAAAGATGCTCAACATCATTAATCATTGAGGAAAAATAAATCAAAATCACCGTGCGATACCACTTTATACTCACTAAGATAGCTACAATGAAAAACAAGGACAATAACAAGCACTGGAGAGGATGTGGAGAAACTGGAACCCTCACACTTCGCTAGTGGGAATATAAAATGGTGCAGCCAAGAGCCGAGAGAAAGGGGGAAGAGGGAATAATCACCAATGCATACGGGGTTTCTTTTGGGAATGAGGAAAATGTTCTGAAATTAGATATTGGTGATCAATGCACAATTTCGTAAATATACTAAAAACCACTAAATAGTATACTTTAAAGGACTGCACTTTATGGTATGTGAATTTATATCTCAATAAAGCTATTATTTTAAAAAACTACCTCTAGTATGATCCCAATTTTGTGAAACACCCCATCCATCCATCCTTCTATCTATGCATAGAAACGTGGAATGACAGTCACTGATAGTAATAATAATGATAGTTATTTCTAGTGGGAATCTAGTGAAGGATAATTTCATCTTTTAAATGTTATATGTGGTTTGAATTCTTTACAATGAGCATATATCCTTTTTTACAAAAATTAATTATCTTTCTTTTTTGGAAAAAAGCAAACCTGTTAAAGATTTAACAACAGTTAATTGTGGATAATAAGAACATATTTTATTTTATATTTTGATACTTTTTAAATTAAAAAATAATTATTCTCTCTGAATCATGTAAATTATATTCATTTAAACAAGGGTTAGAAAGGTGTTTCAGAGACTTTAATGCCAACAAGGATGGTTTCCCAAGAGAAGGCAGGTAGACAACCGAATTTGGACTAAGTCTCAAAATATTTCCTAAGAAGCCATGGGCATATACCACAGTGACTGGGGGTGGGATACTATTAAATTTAGCTCTACACCATATAGCATCTTAATGATTTTCTTGCCCATTTTTTTTTCATTTCTAATGGTTTCATCTCAAGCTACATCCTTTCAGAGCTTGATGGTATCCCAAAATCCTTCAAAAAACCTAGTGTCAACTAAAGAGCAATAAATATTAGCATTAACTGAAATCACTTACTTAGAAATGTTCTGGGCCTTCTCAATAAATTTCATCACCTAAAAGAAAAAGATGCCGATTCCAGTAGGATCCAATTTCAACACAAAAATCACACAACCCTCTCCAAGGTGGCCTGCCTCCAAGGCACCATTAATTATTGAATCTCTATATTCTCATTCTTAGGACACTAATAAACTCACTGAACCAAAGAAACACAGCCACATCAGCAGCACTACAACACCCTAGGGCACAGTGCAAGGACCTGAGAAGCTGAGGACTTGATCTGTCACTGGCAAGTCATTTCTCTTAGTGCTTCAGTAAAATGTTAATAGCCTGTCTCATAGAATAACATCAGGGTAAAAAATTAATGATTACAAAACACTCACAGAAGAAGGGACAAAGAAAACCCAACTGATGACAACTGTTTGTCAAAAGTTAAAAGCCCCATTATCTTTCCATCCCATGCCTGTTAGCCCATCCCACTCCCTCACCCACCATTCTATCCACAGGGTAACACTGAAAGCCAATAACAGATCAAGAAAAGAACCCAGATTTCCTGGATTTCTGTTTTATTGGCTGTCACAAATATTAAATGTGAAGTGTCTCACAACGTTGATCGTCCTCTCACAGCCTACTTCTCTGTCTCCCAAAATGCCTACTTATTTTCTATATTTACATCCTGGTTTATTGCTCTTCTTTCCCAATGTGATGAAGCTAAAGCATTTAAGAGTCTCAGGTTTTAGCCATGCTTATGTAAGTAAAGACAGACATACCTGATCAAATCTTGTAGCGAAGAGATTGAGTGAGGTCACTATGCCACCATTGGGCCCAAGTCCATATCTAGACACTTAGCTGAGGATTTAAATTGCTTATAGATCAATTTAGATGATAAAATTCATAAATAAGCTATCACTCACATAAACAGAATTATAACATTAGCATTCCATGAATGGATATTGGCAAGCTAATCCTTGACTACCTTAAGGTATGTACCACACAACCTTAACCTCATAGGAAAACATTTATTATCAAGGTCTTCCTCATTTTAGGGATGGTCAGTCAAAATGAAGAAACTAAAGTGACCAAAATGTAATAGACAGATCCATCAGGCAGTGACAGCCTGCTGGCATTAGCCATTAAGATCATCTATATAACACTCCTTGCTCTGATCCTCACTAATCAAGCAACATGCTGATTATAATTAATGTTCCTACCTAGACTTACTTACAGGGAAAGTACACATTTCACACAGCAATGTAGTAAGAGTTGATCATACTAAACCTACTCACTTCTGAGTTTCCTAGTCTGAAGATGTGGTGACCAACAGATGTATCCTCCAAGGGAATACTACCCTGTGGGATCCAGACACATCATCAGCTTGCCTCTCTTTCTCTGTGCTAATTACAACAGCCCAGGGAAGATGGTAAGAAAACTGAAATCACAAGCTGAAATAGTATTTCTAATCATCTACAATATCTCTCCCCACATTCACCTTCCATCCTCTTACCAAAATTATCTTAAAGCAATCAAATGCTTTTGCTTGTATATTTCACAAGGAAACACAAAAACATTCTTTCAAAGCCATAAAATACAGACAGTAACTGGCCAAAGACGAGTGAACACTGCAGTAGGTGAGGAAAAGGATACTGTTTCATGACTTCTTTATACTTCACAGTGTCACGAATATCTGGAGGGAAAAAAATTAACTGGAATTTAATATATAAAAAGAATACAGTGTGAGATCTTCCATCTGTAATAGCCTAAGCCAACAGGCCGCTCAAGCCATGTCTGCTTCCTCTGAGGAAAAAAAAATAAGTTTCTCTCTTGGCATCTAAGTCACTTTTAAATTTGTTTTCTAAATTTTTAAGCTAAGATCATTGAACTGTGATAGCAAAAGAAACAAGACTGTGAGGAGAAGAACAGAAGGGCAAAAGATGCCCTGTAAGTACTTTCCCTATCAGCAAAAAACTGAAACTAGTCTTTTAGGCTTCTCTTGTCAGCATTCTCTTCCACTAATTTCTCCAGCTTCACACTGGTTTCCTTTCTTAAAAGGATAACTGCCATGTAACCCATGAAAAATGTTAGGTTAGGAGATCTCAAGTTATGGTAGAGATGATCTGAGACAAGGAGAAAAGCTTTATAGAACTTAAATGCATTATCAGTGACCATACACATAGAAAAAGGGAGCTAAGTCAAGAAAAAAGACTTATTTCTTACTAATTGCTTACTGGTAACAAAGGTAATGCAGACATGATTTTCTTTTTTTTTTACTCCCCAAAGCCCCAGTACATAGTTGTACATTCTAGTTACAGGTCATTCTAGTTCTTCTATGTGGGATGCCACCACAGCATGGCCTGATGAGCAGTGTGTAGGTCCGCACCAAGGATCCAAACCAGGGAATCCTCAGCTGCCACAGCAGAGCATGAGAATCCAACCACTTGGTCACACGGCTGGCCCCCCGAGACATGATTTTTAGAAAACAATTAATACGTCCAGTAACATCTAACTAAACCTATCTACTAATTTGTAGACCTACTCCATCAAGTATTAGAATTCCATCCTTTAAGTGAGAAGATGGGCAATTTTTTCCCAAACTCTTACCAAAATGATCTCTGCTTCTTAATACAAGGTCTTCCTTTATTATTATGTTTAGGGTACAAGCAGCTTAACAGGATTAAGAAGAGATAAGGAGGGAGATGATTAGCATACAGAGATAGCCTGGAAATCAGGAAGCCCAGATTCTATTAAGAATCATGACACTGGATCACATCCATTCTAATTCTTTTTTATAGTCACAGATTCCTTTTAAAGTCTGATGATAACTAGGAACCCCACATGTGCATAATCACACACATTCTCCCACGTAACTTTAGGAGTGGAAGCAAGGTTCCTACAGATGAATACGTGAAGTACCAAACAAGAACCCTTACACTCTAATTAAACTTTCAGAAAAGAAACTAAATAAAAAAGGTTTATGTATCAGAGCCTGCTGAAGGGTTTATGGCCTAGAAGTGAAAGGACCTTCTATCACTTCATTTTCCCAAATAACATTAGCCTGACAACATAGTGTCAGAAAGAAGGAAGAGAGAAAGGTGAATGGTAAGGAAATAAAGAAATTTAGGAAAGAAGAGGGAGTAAACAAAGAGAAGATGTGAATAAGGGAGAAGGCTATTTATGGATTCTAGCAAATCCAAGGGAAGTAAAGGTAGTTCAGAAAAAATGAAAGCATTGAAGACTGGCAGTCTGGAGGCTCTCCATTCTGTGAGGCACTGCACACAGTTCTGTACAGTTTACTTACCAATGTTGGCAGGAAAGGGAACTTCATGCACAGCTGGGTCCAGGTTGATCACATAAGGTGGAGAGCCTTGGCTATGCAGGTGTCCCGTGAGCCTCTGCAGAGATATGAGGAGAGTGATGGTGCGACATAATGGGGGCATGATAAGGGGACAAAAGAGAACTTCCATTCCTTTATCGACCATACCTGAAGACTTTTGCACTTAATTTCCCTCCACCTGAAATATTCGCCCCCGATGTCCACCTCCAACATTCAAGTCTTAGTTGAAATGTTACCTTTATCACCCATCTAACAGAGCCTCCCCTACTCTTATTATTTTATAATTATATTACATATTATATATATAATTATATATTGATCACATTATTTTGCGTGGGGTTTTCTTCTATCTCCTCCACTAAAACGTTAGTTCTATTTAAGCGGGAACCTTGTCAATCTCGTTTTCGCTGTATCCCCAGTCCCTGAAACATGGTAGGCGCGCAAAAAATAATTCTTTAGCCAATCTACACCTGTGTGCTAGCACTGTATTAACTGCCAGAGTTACTTGCAAGCCTCTCCCTTTCAGGAGTTGGCAATTTTATCGGTAAGACAATTCCAGTACAACGCGGTAAGTTGTACCAAGTATGCACTGAGGGTGCACAGAAGAGAGACTTAATACACCCAGGCTAGCGTCCGAGAAGGCTTCGCCGAGGAAGGAACTGGAGTTACTGGCAAGTTCCTGAAAGCCACGCGCTGGTACCCTCCAACTCCCCGGAGAGACCTCCCTTTCTCCCTGGCCTTCCGCCCGCCACAGATCACCTCTTGCGCGCCCCCAGTACGCCCGTGCCGTGTATGTCACCTGTACAAAGGTGGTTTTCCCAGATCCCGCCATTCCCAACACCAACAGACACACTGGGGGCCGAGGACCCCCGGAAGCCTGAGGCTCAGCTGCAGCTGCGGGCGCCGCCATCTTTCCCCTGGCTCCGCCCACTTTACCATAGAGACATGCGTGGCTAGAGAGACGACCACAATTCTCTGGGCTGCGAAGGATAGAACCCAGCCAACCGAATCTACCCGATAGTGAAGGACGAAGGGGCGGGCTTGGCGCCGGAGTACCTTCTGTCCTGACCCGGCTTTGGGGCCAACTAGTGATAATGTCGGGGAAGTGGAGACGCTTGGAGGAATGGTGGAGGGGGGCAGAAAAAGGGGCGCTCACCGTAGTAGGGTATGGCCTGGGAAGAGCCAAGTTCCGGTGCCCAGGAGAGCCAGACCAGGTGGGATCCCGAGGGCAGGGCTCCCGCAGTACGAAAACGAGCAGCGTGTGTTTCACTTTCGGCCCCCAAGGAGCGAGGAACCGAGCCGTCAGAGAATCGGCTGCTAGCGCTTATTCGGCAGCAGCGGAGATTAAGCAGCTCAGAGCCGGGCGGGCCAGGCCTGGGGCGACGTGCGACCCCGGAGGTTGCTGGGCAACCCCGAGACCCGTTGAGCACAGAAAGGAGAAACTGCGAGAACTTTCCGCACGGGGACGCCGTTTCCGCGTGTCGCCGGCCCCTGACACTAGCGCTAGCTCCTTGGCGGTCACCCTCGGTGAACCACACTATGACCTTGGAGATGAACGCTCGGATTCCCCGCTCAAGTAGGTACTGAAGAGAGGCTTGCCTCCACGGTAGTGCCCTCGGCAACCGGAAAGGTGGTGAAAGAGCCCAGAAATTTATTCCTACTCCCGAGCACTCAAGTCTGTTCCTGTGGCCCTTCGTAGCTGCTGTAGTGTTCAGTAAAAGTCAGAACAGCTGGGTTTCACACCCGGGCTTTGCCACTTGCTAGTGGTGTAAATCGTGGCCAAGTCACTTAAATTTTCTGAACCTGTTTTCTCTTTAAAATTGAAATAATTCTTAACAGGATTGTAGTGAATGCATGTTGTAAATTGTAAACTGCACTCTGGTCATTTTTGCCCCTAGTTGTAGCCCCCTTGCCTTGCACACCGTCAGGAACATAATAGGTGCTCAAAAATATTTTCTTGTATGAATTAAAGTACACTTGGGCATTTCTTTTATTTCCTAAATTTTCGTTAAGAACTGCTTGTTCTTCCTTCAGGTTTGCTGAGGATTCTGGTAGTTCTCTCCCACCGTATCATAATTTAATTAATAACTTTGTCAAGCCAGAGAAACTAACAAAGGCAGAGATGAAGTTTAAAGAAAAGGCAGTGGTGGAAATGATGAAGTTGAACAAGCAAATAAAGCAAGCTCAAATCCAACAGGAACCGCTGAAGGAGAAAACCAGGCAGCTATGCACTGAAAAGTTACTTGTCCAGGCTGAAAACAAATTCTTTCTGGAATACCTGACCAAGAAAACTGAGGAGTATGGAAAGCAACCTGACAAGCTGTGGAACAACTATTTACAAAAACGTGGGGAGATTGAACGAAGGAGACAGGAATCAGCCTCCAAATATGCCAAGCAAACTTCACTGCTTAAAAGAGAGCTCTTGCAGAAGGCAAAGATCCAATCCAATTTGAAGCAGCAGTTGCAGGCAATGAGTAATATTTCGATAGTAAAGGAGAAACAGGAGAGAGAAATGCAGACATTACTGGAGGAGAAAAAGAAAGCCCAAGCTGAGACAGCAGCAAGGAAACAGGAAATCCAGGTCCAGCTCCTCCAGGAAAAAGCATTACTGGAGCAACAACTGAGTGAGCCAGAAATGAGGCAGTTGGGAAAAAGAGAAAGAAAGGAGCTTAAAAGGAAGACCCAGCACTTGGAGTTGGCAGCCAAGCGGTATGGTTTTGAGTTCTGCCATGACATCCACAGAGAGAACCAGCAGTTACAGAAGGAGCTCCTGCAGCTAAACCAGCAATACCAGGAGCTGCAGGCTACTCAAAGCCAGTTAAAAAATCAGAAGCAGCAGCTGCAGCAGGAGCAGTGGTATGTGGAGTGCTTAATTAGGGGGAGGCAACGACTGCAAGGAAGGCACAGTTGGTGCCCAAAAGGACAGGGAGCTCCAAAGACCACACTGACCCCTCCCCTAGGCACCAAATCAAGGATTAATCCAAAGTAATTCCTAAAATAACACTGATTAAGGACTGAAGCAGGTATTCTTAGGTGCCACATAAACCTGGTTAGGAAGACTTTTGGATCTCAGGTTCCTATGGTAAAATATCCATCATGATGTGTTAGTGTGAAGGATTAGGTGTTTTCCAGCAGTGCTAGATTTGTGCGACTGGCTACACTTAACTAGGTTTTTCTTTAATTAGCTCTTGTTAATAAACAGGATGTTCTTCAAACCTCCAGATAACCTAATACCATTTGCCAAATATCCATACGTTAAACTAGCTCAAGAAAACCACCTTGAGGAAGTGAAAGAACAATTGGGTGATTTATTTCATCTAGCTAAGTTAGATCTCTTTATAGAAAAAGCACCATTGAGAGATAGCATTTCAGATTGACTATGCAGTGCTTTCTGCTCTGTAAACAACCAATATCAGTTTATCCTCATTCCTTTAGGCCAACTCAGCACACAAAGGCAAAGTGTTTTTAAGCTCTTTATAAGTTCATGCCAGCGACAAGGTAGCTCCTTCTGTAGTTTTCTCAGGAGTGAAAAAGTACTCTAATAACAGCAAGTTCAATAAGCACTAGGCAGAATGGCCTTTTGTCTGATGCAGCCCCTACAATTCCAGCTCTGAGTAAATTGAGAAGGGAAAAGAAGATAAAGGGATGTATATTAGGTCAACTCTTACTTTTGAAAATGTTTTCTGTAAAGAAATATTTCCAGTATTAATGGGGTGACTGAGTGCCTCTGTTTCAGAAAATGTATCAAAAGGAAGTTTAAAAATATTTGGACAACTTTTTAAAGAGTTCTGTACCTTCTATTTCCCTAGCAACATCCTAAATTCTAAGATGACAAGTAAGATTACATAATGTTAAATATAGTACTTTAGTTTTATTAATTTTCTTACTATATGTGCACTTAATAGTACATGAAATGCCTTTTGTAATTAACATGTGCCATATATTTGTGCCTATTTAATAGAACTGGGAATAGTATTTTAAATTAGTATAGACTTTTAGGGTAGTTATATTTTTTGCACTTATGACCTATTGATGGTTAGACTAGTGATTTATCCTAGTATAGGAATATAACCCCATATTTTAACATTGCTCCTCTATGGGAAAATATAATCAACTTTGTCTTCCTGAAATAGTCTTTGACAAAAAACTTCAAAATAATTTTCCTGAATTTCCAGTTTTATCTGTATGTAAAGTGAATTCCTTTAAAATTAGATTAAAAAATGATTCTCCCTCAATGTACCTTTAACTTCTAGCTTTAACAATTTTTCTGTTAAATGTATACTTTGTTATTAAGCACTTTTTATTAAAAATAAAAACTTTAAATTATAACTTATCCATTGATTTTATTATTGTTCCAATGTATTTTCTACTTATCACTTTTCTCATTACCGCTTCTGCATGTCTTATTCATACTAGAGTGCAAATAATAAAACGGCTGTTTTAACGCAGAAAGTAGAACTTCAGACAGGATGCAGACACCTTAACCTGAATACTTAACTTCATGAGCTGAAAATACAGAAAGATTGAACTTGAAAAACATAGTATCCAAGACAAATTTGAAGCCCTATTCTCTGCGGATGCAAAAAACCATAGGGAAGTATATACCTAAGGCTACCAGAGTTGGAAAGAAGGATCGAGAATCTTATTACTCTATTAAGTCCCTTCCTGCCATTGCTGTCCCAATTAATTCAGGAGTGGGTAACTTCCATCTGTCTCAGTTTATTTTTAATTCCTGTTATCTTAGATAATGGATCTGGTGTACTGCTTGTGGCTGTCCCTTTCAGAGTGAGGCCCTGGGGGCTCCAAGATTTTAAAAGGAGAATCTGCTAAAGGTACTCTGAAATCCATACCAGAAGTGAGCAGTAGGTTGGCCAACTGAGATCTCAATCTACTTTTTGTCTGCTTTACTATGAAGAAAATTAAACAGGGTGATGTTACATAAAGTGCATTTAGATGGAAAAGACCTGAGGTGAAACTTAGGTTAAGACTTAAACGATAAAATGAAGCCTACAGTGAAAAACTGAGTCAGAAACTATTCCAGGCAGAGGGAACAGTGAATGCAAAGGCTCTAAGACAGGAATGAACTTGGTAGGTTCAAGGAACAGCAAGGTCAGTGTTGCTAAAGTGTAGTTGGGGAACGGTTAGAGAACACGGATGGAGCAGAGGAAGACAAGGCTAAACAGGTCAGCAGTAGGAGCACAGAGGGCCCTGTAGGAGAAGGTAAAGGGAGTGACGTTTATTCTAAGTGAGCTAGGAAACCATCAGGCTTTCAGCAAGTGAATGAGGTCTGATATACAATTTTAAAAATTCACTACAGCTGTCCGTCTATCCAAGCCAGTAAAAAGCAGAAGGAAACCAATTAGGAAGCTGTTGTCTAGGCAAGAGGTGGTGATGGTTCAGACTGGGACAGTAGGAACAGAAAGACGTGAACAGAAGACATGGGGGAGAGCAGACTACATGGTGAAGGGAAAATCAAATTAAGATGAAGCTGAAATAAAATTTCCCAGGGCTGGCCCCATGGCTGAGTGGTTAAACTTGTGGGCTCCACTTTGGCAGCCTGGGGTTTGCTGGTTCGGATCCTGGGCACAGACCTACACACCACTCATTAAGCCATGCTGTGGTGGCATGCCACAAAAAAGAACTAGAATGACCTACAACTAGGATATACTGCTAAGTCCTGGGGATTTGGGAAGAAAAAAAAAGCGGGGGAAGATTGGCAACAGCTGTTGTTACCTCAGGGCCAATCTTCCTCAATAAAAAAAAAGTGTCAAAGAAAATTTCTCATGTTCCCTTTTAGAAGGGGGTGAGCAAAATATGTTTTTCTTTTTTGTTTGTGTAAACTGCTTTTTAAAATACTTCAGACATACAAAAAAACAGAAACTATAACAAACTCACTATCCACCTTAACAAATAAGAACTTACAAATTCCTTTATAGTCCCTCTGGATCCCAGAAGCACTATCCTAAATTTGGTGTTTATCATTCCTGGGCATGTTTTCATGCTATTCTTAAATATATTAAAATATATTTATATATACTCAAAAACAATAGAGCATTGTTTTTGCATGTTTTTAAGCCTTATATAAAAGGTACACTTGATGTATTCTGTAATTTGCTTTTCCCAGACACTGGTTTTGCGATGTATGCATGATGATACAAGCAACTCTAGTTAATTTTATAGCTGTATAGTTCCACTGTATAACTATTTCACAGTTTAATCCATTCTCCTGATGATGAGCAATTAGGTTATGTGTTAGAGTAGACTAACAAAGAGACCCAAGAATGTATAATGTCTCAAACACCATTTATTTCTTGCTCATATAATAGTCTCAGATGTTCCTGGTAGGCAAGTGGTCCTTCATAGGGTGATTCAGGGACTCAGCTATCTTCCACTGTGCTCTACCATCCGCTAGAACCGCCTCATCATCTGCATCTAGCCTGAGGAAGTGGAAAGCAGGCATGGAAGTATCTGGAAGTGACATACATCACTTCCAGTCACATTCCACTGGAGAGAAATTAGTTGGCTACTCCTTCACTACAGGAGAAGGGCGGGGGAGGGCCAGGAAATGCAGTCTAGCCATTTGTCCCTATGATCTTCTAGCTTTGCAAGGTGAGAGCACATTTTGGTGGAAAGAGGTAGGAGTTTCTGCTACACGTTGTTTCCAGTATCTCTCTACTATAAAAATAATGCAGTAATCATTCTTGTTTTTGTCTCTTGGTATTTTCATTGTTCTAATGAAAAAAACCTTTAAAACTCATAGTATGATTAGGATAGTCTATACCGAGTCCTGCTGATCCCTGGCCTCAGGAAGGAACAACAGAAGGAGTGCCTACAAGGGCCCTGGATGAGATTGGGCAAGTTTCCGATACTAATTCACTTTAGTCTCAAATTATTCATTTTAACCAGCAGATCTTAGAAGCTAAAGAACTACTGAGACAAATGCACTTGGTACTTATTTCAAATTCAGTCCCATCTCTAGCCATCTTCTTACCCCCATATGCCGTGTCAGCAAAGAGTCAAGTAACAGGTCAGAGTCAATGAACAACTGGCAACATCATTCTAACCAAGAGTCATTTATTTCTTTTGTCATTGCCAAACATTCCCCAAATCTTACTCACCAGAAATTAACATAGCTTCTTCATTTCTCCTGCCTGACAATCCTCATCTACTGAAAGGGCTTTAAGGGTGCAACTGCCAATGAGAATGTAGAGTGTATATACCACATCCTTCACTTGTTTCAAAACTACCTATTCTGGCAGTATCCAAATCAGGTTTCAATGCTCCCTTATCTGAAAGTGGTCTTCACAAAAGCCCACAATTTAAAGCTATACAGAGGAGCACAGAGAACAGAGTTAAAGAGTGGTAATAGTCTTTCAGAATTTGAAAAGGTAGTACTTGTCCATATCAGGGTTAAGGGTCCCTTGCTTTTTATGTGGCATATGCCAAAAAAATTGGCAAGAATATGTAAGACCATTATTTATGGAAAAGAGAAAGAGAATCTAGAAACACAACAACAGAGCTGCTCTAACCAATGCTCCAGAGAAAGCTAGCCTCAATGAGAAATAGCCCATTAGACATTATCAAGTAGGCATGAGGTACAGAAAAAGAAATTTTCTTTCCAACTCCAGATAAATATCTACATCTGGTGTTGAAGTCTCAGGATATAAAGAGGACAGAACTCCATATATAAAAGATGATGAAGGACAATATTCTAAGAAAATTCAGAGGTTGGCTAAAGGGAAGGATGAGGACTTAGTGGAGTGCAGAGTAACTAGTGAGGTCAAGTCCAGGGGAAGAATGTGCACCTTGGCTACCAATCTTAGGGGCATTACCAGGAAGAGGATTTTGTTTCAAAACATGAGAGGCAATGTGATATTTCTCAGTCCTTGAAATTGAGGGAGCAAAACAAGCTTCAAGAGGGCACTGGATCACAGCAACAGAGGAGGCCTCAAGAAAGTTGAGGCAGTATTTATTGCTTCTTCTACTTGCTTCTTTCCCAGTCATTTTAATGTTTGGGACACATTACTCCTCAGGCTGCTTTTCATGCCTGTGGGTCTTGTTAGTCACTGCTACTTCAAACAAACAAAGCATTTCCCAGTAAAACCAGTGTAGGGATGTTCTAGTTTTTTCATTCTAAGTCCATTTTCTTACTTTCAATCCTAAAACCATATTGAGAGAACAAACAGCCTCCACAAAGTTAGTTTCCCAAGGAGACAGAATAATCTTATTACATGAGTGACAAGAGTACTACCTTCTAGGCTTGTTATATCACAAATACAAAATGATAAATCAGCATGGCTTTAAAAAATTAGTTTGGAATTGTTTTATAAGCTACATGATGGAGTGACTACTAAATCAATGGAGTTTCCAAGAACATTCTACACCCCAGGAAGGAAAGGACAACCAAACAGATTTCTTAGTCTTGTACAGGGCAAGAGGGGCCTATAGTTGGCCTTAGAGGGAGT